ACACCCAAGGGTGTGCACTATTCTCAATTGAATGGGATGGGTAGGCAGGAGGGGGTGCTGTGAGAAGGATGCCAGAATTTCAAGCAGATCCCTCTTTCCCCTATAGAGTTATCCCAAGCCCAAATTTCTTAACTATATACAATTTATTAAGCTATAGTATACATAAACATAAATCTAAATATCATATACATATATTTACAATGAACACTAACCAATAACCAAGTTCAAAACCTAAATAACACTATTTATAACATCACAATATAACATTTCAATTACAAAATATAAGGCACAAACATGAACAACCTTAATAACATCTATCCCTTAATATAGTCCCTGACCCATGGCAAGAGATAGGGGTGGGGGGTCCCTTGGGGGTGTCCAGGAAGCACCAGAGGCCCCTCCCCTTAGGGCCTTGACTATGTGGGGAGGCTGCTCACCCAGCCCCTTCTCTGGGTTTGCTCGCTCCAAATGTCTTTCCCCTGTGGGACCCAAGGGGCCAATGACTCACGCTCCATCAGGTGGCGGTGGTCAGGGCGCAGCTCAATGGGGTCTCCTCTGCTGGAGTGCCTCTCCAGGCCTCTCCCATGCTGCTGGGCTCCTCTCCACCCTGTGCCCCACTCTGGGCATCGAGGACTCAGCTGCTCTCAGCTGCTGCACCACTGCTGCTGGCTCCCGGGGGGTGGGCCTCAGGCTGCAGGACTACCATTTCCCCATGCCCTGGCTCGGCACTGAGGGTTCTCTTAGCACAGGCCAGGCCCTTCAGGCTCCAGCCGGCCATCCTCACACCAGGGAGCTAACTCAAGCAGCCTCTGCTGCTCCCTGGCTCCCAAGGCTCAGGCCTGTGCGCTGCCCTGCGCACTGTGAGACCTGGCTGCTTGCCAGGAGATGGGGCCTGAGCCGCCTCACTGCAGCCCCAAGGCCTTTGCCCCATGTGCTGCCCTGCACACTGTGTGGCCCGCTGGCCCTGCCGGGGTTGCAGGCTTGAGCCGCTGCTTGCAGCTCCCAAAGCCTGGGCTCTATGCACCTAAGTGCACACTGTGATGGGCCCAAGCAGTCTCACACTGCTCCCAGGGCCAGGTCTCTGCGCACCATCCCATGCACCATCAACAACCTGAGCAGTCTCACACCACTCCCAAGGCTGCTCCTCCAGTGGCAGCTTCAGGAACCTTGGGCCTATTGCCCACTGGGGAGAGCTCCCCAGCTTTTCTTGGCTCCGCTCTACTTGAGTCCCTCATTGTGTCTGCCCCTGTGCTGGGCACGCAGCTCCTTTTATATGCTCCACGGCTCCACCCCGAAGTCTTCCAGACCTGACAGTTTACAGTCTTCAATCAGGTCCAGGGGAGCTCTTCTCTCCCTCCCCTCAGGAAAGGGGCGTGACTTTATTTCTCCTACTGCCTCCTGACTATGAAACTATGACTGGTGGATGGGCTCCACCAATCAAAACAGCAGGATCTCAAGCCTGGGACTCAACCCAACCTCTAAAAGGTGAGCCTGCTATGTAAGTTTAATGTAAAGGCAGAGCCAATGGTGTAATTCAGGTTGACTATGATTCCAAAGCATGAAATCTCAGCAGATACCTATGTAACATCAGAATCCCCTTCAAGGTTGTATACTTTCTACTAACTTTCTTATGCATTACTTCATTATAAATACAGAGTTACTTTCCATTACATTATAGGTAAGGAACAGCACTCTGTAGTCTCTTCCTGGTTTTTCTTTTTAGGCTGCTGCTCTGGTTCATATCTACACTGATGGGTCAGTGCTTCTGACTCATGGTGGAATTGAAATGGGACAAGGCATCCATATCAAAATGATCCAGGTAATGGAACTCAAATATTAGCCCTTTGCATTGTGTGTAACACAGGCCAAGACTGAGGAGCTTTCCTTCTTGTGTAATTAGGCTAATAGCTGTCATGAGCAATTTTTTACCAACATAACCCCTTGCCAATGACACAAACAGTTAGAGGAGCAGAGAAAAAAAGCTGAGGCTGAAAGGCTTGCATCTGCATAGTCATGTAGCTGCTCCCTCAACCAGCTTCCAAGAGGGTCACAAGGCGAGCAGGGAGGGAAGAGGGAGAGATCCCTTTGAGTTTGTCAGCATATAGACAATTGATGCCCAGGGAAACATTCAGTCTAAATTAGAGGTGTCAAACATATCTGGCCCTTTGAGCTGGATCTGGAGTGCACAGCCATGTCATCTTGGCCTATGGGGCTGGAAACTTGTTGGTAGAAGTGTTAGCTGCTGTGGTTCCTGGAGCTGTGGCAGCCATTGTTCCCTCCACAGCCAAATTTCTGGCCACGTGGGCAGCCCTGCAAACTAGATAACATAACTTTTTTGCCCTGGAACTGGCCAGCAGGGTTCTCCATAGAGCCAGATATTTGGTGGTGGGAATAGTAGCAGCAGTGTTAATTACTGTGGCTTGGGAACTGCAGCAATTAATGCTGCCACCGATCATCCAGCCAACAAATTTTTAGCCCTGAGGGAAGCCCTATAGATTGGATACTCTGGCTCCACATGTTGGATCCAGCCTGCAGG